GAATCAATTATAGGAACGACCTGGGGGCTACGCCCCCAGGTCGTTAAAAAGAGCTGTGGTTATCAGCCACCCCCTTTTGTTATTGTAAGAACAATGAATATAATCTTTTGGGTTATAATTTCAATGAATATAATTATAAGGCCACTTTGATGGTAGGGCCCAGGCCCCCTCAGGCCCTACCTCAGCTACACCCCTGTCTCACCCGGTTCGTACACTTTTCTCGTCACATTAGATAGGAAAAGTTCGGAACCCTCCCATCACACATGACTGTAAAAGTTCCGGTTATTAATGGTTATACATAATAATTTAACCCCTTAGTTCTAGATTTATTACTAACTCGACTACGTTATCTATCTACGGTTTATTAACTTTTCATTAGTAATACATGTGCCACCATGAGTCGAGGTATAAGCAGATGTGTGGATGCCAGTAGCTCCTCTGGATCTCGTAGGTTTGTATACTTATTATTATGATTATTATACTTAGGACCTACATATTCATATAATAGGTTCAATGACATGGAACTTTCAACTTTGAAGAAGCATTATGACAAGGGAATGACAGGTGTTGGGAAAGTCTATGGGCCACTTATTGAGTCTGCATGCAAGGAATCAGGCCTGAATGCAGGTCAAATCAAGGTAAATAGTTAATGCCAAATAAAACAAAATATTTTAGAGCTAGCTAGATCACCAGTATTTTTGCCAATCCATTCCTTTTATGCATTTAAATAAATTGAATAATGAACAAGTCACATGCATCACTCAACCTTCCCCACTGCTGTGTGCATGTCTATCAATCAGTGATTGATGTGGTAATTAAATTACTTGATTAAATTTATATATACCTGCATGTATACTTGTACTCAAATTTAATGATGTTGAGCTATGATATTTACTTGTCTATAATTCTGAGGAGTATTACAATTGTGTCATCAAGTTGCTACAATATATACTTGTAATCCTTGTTTATCATTGGCTGAAATAATGATTGAATTAAAGATTAAAGTGCAATTTTATGATAATGCTGTTTTGTAGATTATAAACTCTCATGGAATAATGGTATGATAATGGTATTGTAATTACAAATAGTTTTGAAGTATTGTAATTATTACACAATGCATGTAATTAAAAACATCACTGCTAGCAATGGGGAAAGGTACAGAGTTGAATGAGCCAATAGGGCATTTCCAATTTTTTATCATTTACACAGAAATGCATGGCATAGGCTCTTGTCTTTTTAGAATTGGATAAAAAAAACAAACCAAAAGATTAAATTTGGAAAAAGTGAACCAGCAGTTGCTTGTCATAAGCGACAATTGACACAATGGCAGGCATTCCAAAAAAAATTTGCTGAAGACTCAGGTATACACGTGTAAGCAATTGCAAATAATAACATAATTTTTTTTTCAGGGCATTCACATTCTTTTACCAGTTTTAACAAAGAAGCAAAATTAATGTACAGTGATCTTTCTTTAAGTGAAAAGGATAATATTCAGGTAGAAGTACAGAAAGAAAGTTCATCTCGATGTATACCTATTAAAGAAAGAAGAGTTAAAATATTCAATCAATTTAAGAAGTTGGTATGGAACCAATACTCATGATTGTAAATCATAATCTTTCTTTAGTTTAATGAGTTGGAAACCTTAGGGTTTAATGGATTCGCCATTGCTTTCAGTGGAGAAGATGTTGATATTGTTGGCACATCAGCATCCATGAAATGTTTTAAACCAGAATTTATTGACTACGTATGCTCTGTCATTAAAGCAGGTATAGAAATGATACATTCAATAAATCTGTGACTATCTTTGTTTAACAGCTAATCCACCTGTCAATATTAATGCAGGTATACTATGATCCTGATGACAAATTCACTAGTTTATATAATTTTTTTATTTTTGTTTGCAGCCACATGTAGTTCACCTGCCAACATTATTAAAGAAGGTATATACTATAATGATGATAAATTCAAATAAATAATGATTTATTTTGTTTTACAGCTAATCTACCTGCCAGTAATATTGATACTCGTAATACGAAATGGACAGGTAAATAATCATAGGGAGATCCCACAATTGCAAAAATGAGGCTGCATCTTGTTAATGAACAGAGCTTCCTTTAGAAAAATTTAATCTTTAGTTTTCTTTTAAAAGGCTCACCTACAAAGGACCAAGAAAGAGAGGCATTATTTTCATCGACTTGTGTTCATAGGTTAGTTCATAAAAGTATAGTTCAACATAATTATTATTTCGTTGTTTTAGCAACACCATAGCATTGCTGTTATCCTCAGGTGCTCAGTTAAGCCCATTGCCATCTCTGGTAATGTCTACCAATCGACCTAAATCTTCTGTTCTACCTACTTCTCACTCTAAACCAACTCATCTCTTACCTGTTCTGAATTTTGTTACGACACCTAGAACTCAATCCGTTCCAGTATCCATGCCACTCAATTTCTTCCAAAACTCGGTTCTAATTGCTCCAAGCCCAACTACTCAACCAAACCACTCAATATCTAGTTGTCATCCTAAACCTTCAAGTTCAACAACACCTACCTGCACTACATTCTCTGATTCAATACAAGCAGCATCTATGCCAAAATATATCTCTGCTACAGTTACATCAACTAGTTCTACTATTACAAGCTCTTCACTAGTTCCTGTATTGAGTAGTCATCCTAAACCTTTACTTTCTATGACATCTACAACTATACACTCTGATTCGTTATTAACCATCTCTCATCAGAGAAACAGTTCTTTTCCAGTAACAACTAATGCTCCTATTCCATTGCCTTATTCTACATCTTCAATTCCTTCTCCAGTAATACAAGAAACAAATACTTGTCCACCATCACCTGTAAAACCATTGTTAGTCACTGACATTGAGTCTGAAGCTTGTCCATATGATTTAACAGATATATTGCCACCAGTTAGTCCTGAAAAATTATGGGTGAAAATTGGAAAAATGGAACTAGACATTTGTTGTAAAGATATAATTCAGAAAGGGGAATGGCTTGCATCCACAATTATAGATGCAGCACAGATGCTATTAAAGAGTCAAGATACAACTATTAATGGTTGGCAATCACCTGAGATTGGGAGAAAGTATGAGTTTCGACCAACAAAATCTCCGCTTATACAGATTCTATTTGTAAATCAAAACCACTGGGTGGTTGTCTCAACACTTCAATGTGAACCAGGCACATTGAATATTTATGATAGTGCATATAATCTACTTCGGCTCGATACTAAGTTGCAGATTTCCTCTTTTTATAAGGCAGAAACGTGTGAAATAAAATATAACTTTCAAGACATTAAGAGGCAATCAAATTGTCATGATTGTGGTGTATTTTCAATAGCCAATGCGACTGCATTGGTATTGGGTAAAAATCCAGCCTTATACAACTGGGATGTGAAAAGAATGAGACAACATCTAATAAATTGTTTTGAAAAGGGTCAACTCACTTTCTTCCCATATACTACACTTCGTCGGATAAAAGCAGATTTCACTAAGAGGACAGACACAGAGAAGGTGTACTGCTTTTGTAGAACAATCAATAACCCAAAGAAAGCAATGATTCAGTGCAGCACATGCAGAGTTTGGTTTCACATTGAGTGTGTAAAAGCAGAAGACATTGACAATAAATGGCATTGTAAAAATTGTTTATAAAATGCCATTTTGGATAACCTGTATATACATCCTTATTATTGTTTACATTTCACTTGTTCTTTTTAAAAAAGACAACTAAAGCATTAAGCTGTGGCTCCTGACTTCCACAAAGCATTATTCAAGCTCAAGCATTGCACTATACAAAACAAAGGAATAGCCAACACCCACTCACAGGTGGGTGTTGAACAAGATATCACTGAAAACTCTAAGTTTTTAGTATTGCAATATAATTTTTCAATGAATTATCTATAGTTATACATAAACTACTATTTGCAAGTGAAATTTAGCATTGTCTTGCACTGATAATATTTTTGATCAAATTAATCTGTCTCCAGCCCTCTAAGGGCATAATAGATGCAGTGCACTACATGCAAACCATTTTTAGTTGAATTTTGTAAATGTAGTTGCACTTTTTAAAGTTATCATCTTGCATGCCTTGCCCATGAGCATACCAGTGTTATAAATTTAATCATGAAAATTAATATAAATGAAGTAATAGCAATTTTTCAGTAGGTAAAATGACAAACAATTGAAAATAATAAAGCAAAAATGAATGTATAGTTAGATGAGTAGTGTTCTCTTCTGTATAATAATTCAAGTGAATTCCATTTTATATTCTTGCAATTATTCTGAAATACATTAAACAATATTATGCAACTAATAATAATGACATAGAACTTACCAAATCTCTGAAACACATCAAATGCAAAGTATTCCTATATAATGAACAAAGACAATAATTATAGCATGCTCATAATGAGGACATAAAGAGTACCTTTTAACATGAGACAGAGAAAAGTAAATTGCATCAAAAATATGTAATAACAGAATAAAAATAAATAACATGTACATAATCAGGATCAATACATATGAAATACATGTACCTTGTATAGAAGACAAGAAAATGATTATTTTAAAATTAGAAAACGGGAAAATGTAGTAAATCAACTGCATTAGCAAAACTTGTCATAATAATTGCAAAAGTGAATCCACAATACTATTATTACAGTTAATTACAGTTAAACTGAAGAATGTACTCTGATTCACTATCAGTTTCAAACTCTGACCCATCAAATTCATCGTCAGTGTCATCACTATCTGTATCAACTTGTATATTCAATGCTGATTCAAAAAAAGGTAACGCAGGAACTATTGGTGCAAATGCTTCCTTTGATTTGTTGTACAGTAGCAAAATTTTGTGTTCATATTTTAACAAAAGGCAACTAAGGCCACTATTATACAAGGTCTGGGGTTCACTCATAATTGTGACTTGATTTTCTTTAATGAGCTCGAGCTTGTGCTTGAAGTATTGTAAAGTATTAAGCATGTCCTGTTTAAGTAGCTCTAGTTCTTCCTCACTACGTTGAAGTAGCAAATAATTATGAATTGCACTCCTTCTCATCTTATATACTTCAGCACTTACATTCATGACATCAACCGGTTCCCAAAAATCAGAATTTGGATTTATAATGTCTTCATACTTATATAATTTATGCTTTTCTAGTAAACGTTTCAGTGACAATGTTTCCTTTTTTATCTGGGCGGATAACTTTTTAGCAATTTTCTGACCATCTAAAATAACAATAAGGATGCATTATAAATTTAATATTACTGGCTATTAAAAGTCACCTGCATACTTTCCTTTAAGTTCTAACAAAAATTTCCTTCTTGCAAATATTGATTTTATTGATTCCTTTGTACCGTCTGATGATTTGCACAAGACAAGACTTCGTTCTTCTTCAATGAATTTTAAAATGTCACCTTCAGTAGCATTCACTATAATTAAAATAACATGCATGTAATACTGCAATAATCATGCCATGCCTACATACAAGAAGCCTTTAGTTCTTCTAAATTCTGGTGAGCAATTGCATGTGTACTTTGGGCCCTAGACCATCTTGAAACTAAAAGTTTACCTGTATTATTAGACATACAGCAACAACATAAAACTATAATATTTAAAGTATAAAATCTCACTAAGTTTTTCTGTTCGTTTATTAGAGTAAAAAAGCAATGCATCAGTCAATACATTAATACGATGGGAAGGCCTCATCTCCTTTGTCATCCTACAAAAGCGTCTTAAAAAAGACCACAATCGTTCCATAACTTCTCCATCTGACAAACCAATACCTTCTGTTCGTACTGGGCTAAAATCGACCTACTGAAAATAAAAGATAGAGCAAGTAATTTTAAGTACTTGACATGAAGCAGTGTGGCCATATGAATGAAAGGAAGGCACTGACAATGATGCAATATTCTTTAAAAGGTCTTCTCTTCCACACTTCTATATAATATTAATTAAATTGGAGATTTTTTCTAAATATTACCTTTAAATGCCTACTTAAATTACAAGCTATATCATAAATAAAGTGATGTTCAGACGTAGAATGCCCAATTAAGTTTTCCATGATCCAAATGGAATATGCATATCTAAAAAATAGTACAATCATACATAATAAAAAAACTACATGCATATATATATATATATACATATATATATATATATATATATATATATATATATATATATATATGCTGTAGAATGTAGATAAATTCTGTTTAACAAATTAAGACACTAAATAAAGGTCATTAAATAAGTTTAATAATACATGCACACATTAATGTACCTTTCACCATGTTTTAGACTGCAAAAGTATATGGGAAACTCATGTCTGCAACCAGCACCAAAAACACCAGTTTCATCCAGTGCATGGTAACGTGATGCAGATCTTAACATTGAACCTGCCTTGAAATTACTACATTCCTAATAATAGTTATAGTAGCAAAATTTATGAGAACAATTTTTTACTTCTACATTATTTTCACTGCCAATCGAATTATTTGTAACAAATTCATCAACTTCAGACTGACAGGCAAAAAAGAGATTACCATGCAATGAGTCATTGAAGCTAATGCCAGCATTTTTTCTCCTAGGTAAGCCAAAAATGGCATCCAACGATACAATTTTGGAACCACCATCCTAAACTAATGGTATAATTATAATTTTTTTGTAAAATTACCTTAGGACAGGCAGGGCAAACATTGCCACTGTCTAACTGATCAAGAAAAGATAGTGTCCTTAATTCATGTTTCATGTATCTTGTGAAATGATATAATTAAACTTAATTCAATATTTTATATACCTGTATTCTTCAAATGAATCAATAAGAAAACCATATACCTCTCTTCTCTATAAAAATATAATACAACAACCCCAAATTAGAAGTTTCACTTTAGAAATGTGTGGACATCTAAAATACAAAGCAGAGCACAAATCCTTTAAGGCTACTTGACATTCTAGTAGCAAGGCTTCAAACCAGTCCAGTAATTCAAAAGTATAAGCAAATTTTGGCTGCACAGGAGAAGATGGCCACAGTCTGACTCTTGCCATAGACACTACCAAACTTTCACAAGTACAATGTATTAAAGATACCTGATGCTCCAGCCCTATAATAAAATTAATAACTATGCCACAAAAAAGTGACTAACCATTTGCATCCAACACACATATAGGTGTTTCTTTCTTTGTAGAACAACACGACAAATGACGTATATCTAGTGATGTCACACAATTAACGGGGGAAAATGTACCATCCTATAGTAATTTTAAAACCATATTACTACTAAAAAATACATATGAAATGGTATAGGCTTATGTACCTTCCACTCTTCAGGAGTATGTAGTACACATGTAGTATCATGAACATTTTGAAGGCATGAAGAACAGTAGTATGCAAAAGCACTGCAGTCATTACAACGAAATGAGGCTTCTTGTTGCTGGCAAAGAACACACATTTGATGAGGTGGCATACAATTACTCTGCAGTCTGCACTACAGCACATCTCAAAGCATGCCTTACTCCTTTCCAAGCTTCTTCAGCAGCTCTTTGCTTTATGGAATGATGAGATGGCAGCTCATCCCAATGAGTGCTAGTTGGCATATCTAGTGCAGATTCAAAACTAGGCTGTAGTGAATGTGAGTCATAATCAGATTCAGAGGTGCAGTTTTCAACGTCATCGTCATCATTATCATCATCTTCAGGTGGCTTACTCCGATGCATAACACTGGTTACATGCTCTCCTTTTCCTAAATGACAGGTCACAGTATAAGGGCAGAGTTTCATCTTCTTTCTTACAGCCATCCTAGTAGTCGAGTTAGTAATAAATCTAAGGGGTTAAATTATTACGTATAACTATTAATAACCGGAACTTTTACAGTCATGTGTGATGGGAGGGTTCCGAACTTTTCCTATCTAATGTGACGGAAAAAGTGTACGAACCGGGTGTGAATACGGAGTTAAAGAATGAGTTAAATAGTTCGGCTTTTGTGTGAGCATCAGAAGTGGACACTGAGCCATAATGAACATGTTGAGGCAGTGAGGGAGACCGAGAGAACTGCTTCAAGTAGCCATAGAGCATCTTAGGATTAGAGCTAAATGTGTTTAGACTGAAACCAGGCCTCATATCAGGCATGGACCATAGATTTTGAGCAATCAGTCTTGATACAATCATAGAGTAAGCCACGGTACAGGCATGATAAGCATCTATACTGGATCAGACGAGACCGACTTTCATGATTCAGCAATGATAGCCAACAGGGCTTTACAATATCAGGCTTGAGTCATTAATTTGGGCAACATTTTGAATCAGGCCTGTGTGAAGTAGTTAAATTATGATACATCATACATCCATAAAGATTACACCCACATGCATGAACATGTAGATGTATGATATTGCACCTGCAATAGACATTACTCAAGAGTATTATGGAACTAAGGAAAATACATTGAAATGTACTATACAAGTGACTAATAGGAGAAAAAGAGTACGGATAAAGCAACAATTATTAAATAACAACAACAACAATGTGTCAAGTATGATTAAGGAAAATATCTGTGAACACAACTTAAAGAGTGCATAAAAGACTGGAAGAGTCTCTCTACAGTAATGCCATCACTAGCAATAATAACACACACACACATCGACTAACGAACAAAAAGAAAGAGAGAAAATAAAGCTTAATAATACTATGTGATATTCTCGTCGTGAGAATTTTATTATAACATGCATCTCCACTGTTTTAAGGCTACACTAAAGCTAAAAGTCCGCAAACTCTTTGGGGAATTTCTCGGCTGCGGCAATGCGAAGAACCTCTTCTTTGTAGTCATCAAAGTTACTCGGGTCACCAGCACCTTTAGTCTTGGGAACAAATGGGGCATCAATCTAGAAAGAAAGAATAATAATTATGAATAATGTATAATAGTAAGAGAGGGAGGGGAGAGGGAGGGGGAGAGAGGAAGGGAGGAGAGAGAAGGAGGGAGGAGAGAGAGAAGGAGAGGAGAGAGAGAGAGGGGAGAGAGGGAGGAAGAGAGGGAGAGAAAGAGGGGAGGAGGGAGGGAGAGAGAGGGGGAGCGAAAGAAAGAGGGAGGGAGAGAGAGAAAGAGGGAGGGAGAGAGAGAGAGAGGGGGGGAAGAAAGGAGAGAAAGAAAGAAGAAAGTAGCACAGACCTTCCTTTGGTAGATTGATATCCACTCAGTTGATGAGAACCATGAGTGTCCCTTAATGTCCTGGACACCATTCTTCAGATTACCAAACCTCTTGGTCAGATCAACTTGAAGGAGGTTACGCAGGAGATCCTTGAGATCAGCAGTAAAGTGAGACGGGAAACGAACCTAAAAAAACAAAAATATAACATACACACATTATGATGTAAAAAGTAAGAATAAAGTTTAAAATTATGGGCTAGCTGGCTAAAAAATTAAAATCAAATTGTTATGTATTGTACAATGTACATGTACCGTATAGAAGGAAACTTTGGAGGCATTTGAATTTGGCGTTTTGATAGCCATTTGCCAAAATTAAAAAATTCACCATTTTGAGCCATTATGTGCATGCTCAATGGTACATGGCCACAAATTTGCCAAATTAAAATTCGCCAATCACCAAAATTTAGCAATTCGCCAAATTTAACTCCTCTAAAATTTCATTCTATACGGTATGAATGTACTTATGCTTTGTAAACGCTTGACTTGATTACAATAACTAAGTTTTGAGTTATGCAAATAAACTATATGTACATGTGCAATATACTGTATTATAGTCCCTTACTTTTCCAGAAACAATCTTCTCATAAATTTGAATTGGTTGATCAGCAAAAAATGGTGGATAACCAGCAGCCATTTCATAAATAAGGACACCCATGGCCCACCAGTCAACAGCTCTATTGTATCCCTGTAATGAGAGAGAAAGATTGAATTAAGTGGATTCTTACAAAATCTACACAAAACTATCAGGTCTTTGGCTAGACTTTGGAGCAGCTTTAAAAATTTGTAAAAAATTTAGTTTTAATTGGAATCAGCTAAAACTTGCTACTCAGTGTAAAAACATGTATACGTATCAGAAAAAATTATTAAAATGAAGAAATCACTTCAAGTCATTTTTGGTGAAATTTGGCCAACGACCCTGTACAGGGACTTTGGCCTGACCCTGTACAGGTACAGTACAGGGACTTTGGCCCAATTTTGGAACAATTTTAAAAATTTGTAAAAAATTCAATTTTGATTGGAATTAGCTCAAACTTTCTAAGCAACATAAAAACATGTATACCTATTAAGAAAAATTATAAAAATGGAGAAATCTCTCCTTTTAATTTTGGCAAAATTTGGCCAATGACCTGTACTGTAGTACAGGGATTTTGGCCCAATTTTGGAGCAACTTTAAAAATTTGTAGAAAATTTAACTTTGATTGAAATCAGCTAAAACTTGCTACTCAGTGTAAGAACATGTATACGTATCAGTAAAAATTATAAAAATGGAGAAATCTCTTAAAGTCATTTTTGGCGAAATTTGGCCAATGACCCTGTACTACAGGGACTTTGGCCCAATTTTGGAACAACTTTAAAAATTCATAAAAAATCTAATTTTGATCGGAATTAGCTCAAACTTTCTAAGCAACATAAGAACATGTATACGTATCGGGAAAAATTATAAAAATGAAGAAATCTCTCCTTTTTAATTTTGATGAAATCTGGCCAATGACCAACTTAAAAATTTAACCTTGATTAGAATCAGCTCAAAAGTTTACAAAAATGTAAGTACATGTACACGTATAATAGTCAAAGTTCATTAGTATGATATTACTATCATCATTAAACTATCATGCATTGTTAGTTAGTCATTTCTTAGTAGCACAATATATTATAATGCATTTACATTATAACGAATGTGTATATACCTTGGAGAGGATGATCTCAGGAGCCAAATACTCAGGAGTACCACAAAGGGTCCAAGTCCTGCCTTTAACACGCTTTGCAAAACCAAAGTCAGTTACCTTTAAAAATTAAAAATTAAAAATTATTTTTATTTGTTATTTAATATGCATGCATGCATTCCACAATAATAATTTATTTATCAATAATAATAATAATAATAATAATAATAATAATAATAATAATAATAATAATAATAATAATAATAATAATAATAATAATAATTTTAATTATGCTAACTTTAACGTAGCCATGCTGATCAATGAGAAGATTCTCAGGCTTCAAATCTCTACAAGATAAAACAGAAGGACATAAAGAAAGAGCTCACTACTTGCACTGCTAGAGTGACAATGCAATACAATGTAGTACACGCCCATACAATCAAATAAATGAATATAAGATACAATTTATAATTACTTGAAATTTTTATTGTTTACACATTGGAATTAATTTACAAAATTTTTAATTTTATTTGATGTTAATAAAACTTAGTAGAATTAATTTTAGTAGATTTTAGCCAGCACAAAAATTAATTTAGCACAAAATATATTATACGGTAAATATGTTATAATAAGTTATAATAATAATTATGTTAAAATATGTTATATGTCCTTATGCCTTACCTATAGACAATGTCTAAGTAGTGGAGGTACTCAAAAGCTAACACGATCTGTGAAGCATAGAACCTTGAATGAGACTCGCTAGAAATGACAAAATGAACAAAAAATGATAAAATAATAAAAAATTATTGACAAAATTATAGGTTCAGGCTAATTAACTCTTACTCACTCCAATCAATAATGCTAACACAAAAATTATACAAACACACTAAAATAACTGTCCCACATGCAAAGACATACTGTACGTAGATACATAAACAACACACACATATATAATATGTACATGTACATGTACATATTATATGTACAATCTATATGTATACACATGTAGTATCATGTGTACTGAATGTATTGGATAAGGAATTTGATTCTGCTCCAATTTGGCTCAAAGCAAAAGGAGTGTATTTTTGCAAAAAAGTAGTGAGAATATCTTTAGTAGTAAGAAATTGGGCCAAAAGACATTGTATTTGTGGGTCAATGGTAAATTCATTAGACTAATTGCAGGTCAATTTTGCTTATGGAGGTAAAGTACAAGTGAACTAAAAAGCATGCATTGTGAACTGACAAGCCCTATAATAGCATACGGCTTTTGAAGCAACTTTAAAAAATCATAAAAAATCCAATTTTGATCTGAATCCACTCAAATTTTCTAAAGTACATGTATATGCATTTAAAAATGTAAAAAACAAATAATTTTTTCCAAGTGACTGTTGGAACAATACCATGTACTATACACTTTAAACAAGCTTAACATATAATGTATTAGATTAATATAACAATACATGTACATGCAGTAGATAGTGCATACCTAAAACGGCCTATTCTCCTCAAGTGAGAGAACATTTCTCCTCCGGAGACAAACTCAAGCAACATGTAGAGGTAGGAATTGTCCTATTGAAAGTAAATAAAATATAATAAAAATATATATAATATTCTTGTACAGTATAATAGTGTGTTCACACTACCTCCCCCACTGTACAGAACTGTACCTAATTAGATTAGTTTGTTTATAAAAGAACCATGCTGGTAGCAGTTCACACTGCACAACTTAACTACACCAACTTCACTTTAAAACTTAACTACACCATTTCAGAGCACCTATTTTGGTGCACCACTTTAGCCTGGTTTGGTTTGGTTACAGTGCAGTTCAGTTATGTTCACACGTAATATAAAACTACACTATACTTCCCCAAAACCCAGTTCCAGTACAGTTCTGAAGGGTATAGTGTGAACAGGGAATTAGTCCATTTATACATGTGTGTATGTATTTATGCCCCCAAAAAATGATTACTATACAATCCCTTTAAATTAAAGGTGGGACATTGAATAATATTTAGAATTGTAAAGAATGCCATATACATAGTTCTGCTTATGGTGGTTGGTGGTGGTTGGGACAACCACCTCAACAAATGAACCAACCAGTTCATCACTTAGACCAACCATCCAATTAATACTAATAACCATACATAAAGTATGATATTGTAGTCTACTAGTATGGTGTACATAAATTTAAAAGGAACAATATTAGTCTCCAACCACCTCTAATTTTTTCTGGGCAAAACCCTGCATATGCTGCATGATGCTTCACATATGACTGACTATAACTGCCCTAAAACGATCAGTTTATGTATTACCAAGAGTAGATAATAATTAGTATTTATGTATTCCTTATCCACTGCAGACTGGGTCCCTTTATATGGTATTTATTAATATTTATTAGTATTTATTAATTTATGTATTGCTTAATTTACCTTAAAGTGAAACTCTAAGTTGACAACAAAGGGGAAATTGATTGAAGACAGGATCCTCTTCTCATTAAGAGTGTGTTCAACTTGTTTGAGCTTGACAACCTACAAAACAAACAAACAACAAGCAACAATAAACAACTGCAGTATAATAAACATATACATGTAAATACACATGTATTCTGAAACTTGAAACCACACCCTCTGACACACCCACAAATACTCTGTGTACAAAAACTAAGAACTTAAGAGTGGCTTTCCTAATCTCTCTCTCTCTCTTTCATTTCTCTCTCAATAAAACAAGATCCCTAATGGCTTTGCACAACACATACAGTATAATACAACAGTAACATGCAACAGTTACTAAGTATTACTCAATGCTAGATCACTATCACCATTACCACTCTTGCCATTACTCAATCCCAACACTTCATAAAGTGCAATGTCCTTCCATATAACACAGTACAATACAATAGTGACATGTACTATAGAATGACAGTCACCAAGTGCCAACCATTACTATTACTCAATCCTAATGCTTTCCTTTATACTACAGTAATACTGTAGTATACTGTAGTATACTGTAATATACTGTAGTATACTGTAATATACTGTAGTATACTGTAGTATACTGTAGTACTACAGTATTACATGCACTACTCATGTTATACTAAATGGCATTAGGAGCAATTAAAATTAATTATTCAAAACAGAAACAAAGTTATTGATACAAAAATGCAAATGCCACTGGGAAGCCAAACATACCTTAGCTACAGGTTCAGGAACACATGTACATGTACATGAATTTTTTATTCATGAATCTCAGATAATATGACAATTTAACATGTACATGTACATACTGTTATATACAGTACATAGTTCTGCCTATGGTGGTCAGGGTGGTCGGGACAACCACCTCAACAAATGAACCAACCAGTTCATCACTTAGACCAACCATCCAATTAATACTAATGACCATACATAAAGCATGATATTGTGGTCTACTAGTATGGTGTAAAAGGAACGATATTACAATATTAGTCTCTGACCACTTCTAGTTTTTTTCTAGGCAGAACCCTGATACATCATTATAGTTATAATGAAACCATTCATATGTACATGCATTGCTAAATAAAATGTCATGGTGAATTATTGGTGATCTTCTACATGTACATAAACACTGTATACTGATTATGTTCTATGCACTATATTTACTCATTCATAGACTGTATGCATACTATATGTATTATCATGTATTATTATGTATGGTACTCTTAATGTACCTACATTGAAATCTGATACAAAGAAATTACAATCCTTATTACTGATAATGACACAGTAAGACTTCAGTACTGTGCTATATGACCTATTAGCATTAGTATGTACATATATGTACATAACTGCATATAATTATGGTTACTATGAGCATAAGAGCAAAGCATATGATAATAGTATAAGATAAAGTGATGGTATGACTACAATAACTGTTGGAATTGATACAGTAACTACATGTACAAGCTAGAGTTGCAAAAAAACAAAAATAAACAATAATAAAACTACGATACATTAACAAAATCAGAATGAGTAAGGATTACTATAGCTTTTGTTGTACTATAGGATTCATTGAAAATTAACAAGAAAACAACATGTACTTAAATCAGAAAAATCTAACAACAGTCCTGCAAATATATACATAGCAGTGTGCTTGTGTGTACATGTACATGCATGTGCTTACTTTAAAAAACAACATGTATTTAAATCAGAAAAATCTAAGAACATGACTGCAAATATTATAATAGTGTGCTTGTGTGTATATGTACATGTATGTGCTTACTTTTTGCTTGTCAAGTATCTTCATTGCGTAGTACTTTGAGGTTTTCTTGTGCTGGACCAGCATCACACGACCAAAGGAGCCGGTACCAAGTGTCTTGATGCGGTCAAAGTCATCCAATTTACCAGTTTGCTAGAAACTTACAAATAAATAAATAAAATGAATAATAATAATTAAATAATTATGCTTAATGAATTAATTGTTTGTGTTCATCAACATGAAATGTTTACACATGAAATAGTTTCTATATTCTAAAACTATGTCAATAACATTAGCCTTCTCTCTCTCTCTCTCTCTCTCTCTCCCCCTCCCTATTTATATTCAGCTCTACAACAGCTGCTGCTTATAAATGTGACTCAATCTCTTTGTTGATATTTGCCATTATGCCATAAGCCTAATGATTGTTTATAAATCCATACAACACACATGCACATGTAGACAGACAGACACACACATACTATTTTTGGCATTGTGCATACCTGCATAATCGACAAATATAATTTTACTACATAAAAAACATGTACATGTAATTGCATGTGTATTGTCTGGATGTACAAGTAAACTAATATTCACCAATCATTGTAATGATAATCATAAAGACTTAGGACTATGATATAATGATGATATCATCGGTTGATCACCATAACACTAACATCACTAGTAGACACGGGCCGTGTCTCTTTCTCTCTTTACCGTCTAGCCAGACTTTAATTGCTTCCACCCCCTTCCCTCCCTCACTCTCTCTCTCTCCTCCTCCTCCCTCCCCCTCTCTTTCCCTCCTTCCCCCTCTCTCTCCTTCCTTCCCCTCTCCCTCCCTCCCTTTCTCTCTCTCTTTCTCACCAGAAGCCATAGCTGGTTGTAAAGAAGACCCAGCTACCAGGCATCCCAACCACCCACTACCACTTAATATTATCACACTTCAAATTTGGCACTATTTTCCTCACAAAGCTCCTCCTATGTACCACACCTACTAAACCACTCCCTTTTCTTTCCAACCAATACTCCCACGCACTTAATCACCGTAAGTCCTTCTAAAAATAAAATGATCTATAAATAGAACTTTAGCACTAACTAAAAATGTCACCTAGGTATCAGAGACAATATGTGCCATTACGTGTATATACAATCCAAAATCCAAACACTTTCATTTATAATAAGCATGCCCAATATTACAATGTACTAGGCTATTTAGCACAAGACTATAAGAATAATACACAAAATGATCTTTGTTTTTCTTAATGCTAAGGGGCTTTATCTCCATTACAATGTAGCTATGGTAAAATTATATAAAACTATCACATAATAATAGGAGTAAGAATGATCCCTTGTTATTATTATCTTTTAAGCTAAGGGGGGCCCACATTCCTCTCATCCGCCTCTATCAGCAGTGATAACATAAGAAGAGTTAATGTATAAACTAATAAATCAACCCAATAGTGGCAAGGTAAACAATCACATATTACCTCTACACAAGCAGTGTCCCTCATTTCTCTATCCTGGGGGTAATGGCTAGCAACAACAACAGCAAAAACAGCAGCAGCAGCAACAACAACAAGGCAATTTTCGGCCGAGAGTTTTCACACTTACAAGATCACACCAGCGTAATGAAACAGCTGATAATAAGGCCGACAACGCATGCACGTGTATACAATTTGTATAGGTAAATACAGGGCGTAGTGCTGGTACTTATCAATAATAATCACCATCAGTTATTTCCCATACATAATACATGTGCTGGAAAGCAGGTGGGATTATTATTATTCCTATTCTCCAATACTCAAGTGTAAAGATAAGTATGAAAACAATTCTGACACTAAAAGCCAGCCTCTGTGGCTAAATGGTACAACCCCAAACTACAGAGCATATCCATCGATTTCAGCCGTTAGTGAGCTTAAACGGCAAATGAAGTGATTCATACCCAGAAATGAGCAAACAACATTGTAATACATGAAGTACATACATAATATTAGACAGATCATCTCTACATGTAGAAATAGGATAGGATTTGCTCTAAACTCACTGCTGGAGGGCTCTCCCATTTGCGTTGGAACTCGGTCTTGGCTTCCACTAGAAATGCCTGAACTGCAGGAGCAAAGAGAATAGAAAACGTAATAGTAGGAGGAGGAAGAGTTGATAATGGGACATGGGGTTTTGTTGTCTTTAGAAAGCTTACCAACGTCTGGTTTTCCTGGTGCGTTTCCCATTGCCGAAGAGTTGAGAGGGGGTTTCTTTGCTTTGCTCTGATCTTTCCTCAAATGCTGGAAACAAGTGAGAAAATGGTCAAGAACAGAGACTATTTATGGAGGGGAGGTCGAGCGCTCGTGTGCTGATACCGGAAATAATGCAGGCTCTTATTATGAGAATTATAAACTAACCCCGCCCATCGTAAAGGAAAATTTTTCCTATGATGCCGGAAATAAAGAGCATCTAATTGAAGGAACAATAGGTTACGTCACTAAAATTACTTTGTGACGTCAGTAAATTAGTTAATCACAGTTACCACCCCTTGTGTTGCAAAAAACATGGCGACAGATAGGCTTGTAACTCGTGCAGAAGTCACGGCCTTTGTAAAGCGCTGCATGATATCCGTTGGGACTCCAGAGGAGCATGCGGCATCACTAGCAGATATACTCGTCACTGCAGACTACAGGGGACACTTTAGTCATGGATTGAACCGATTGGGTGAGCTAAAATGACACCTAGTGGGGGCCGGGGTGCGTATGCCAAATAATCATTCATTACTACAGTCTACTGTATTTATTATTACTTTTTACTGGAAGTGCCTTTATACCAATGGATTGCAGCTTGGGTGCAACCCCCACCGTTAATTAAATAATTAAAAATGAAGCAGTACTGTGCCTCAGGTATCCACCACTGTAGCATGATGTCCTATATAAGCTCTGAGTGTTGCAGTACTTTCCATTTAGTGTGTTCTGGTGTGAGCTAGGCCCTTGCTATGTGGCATGTGAAAACGTGCTCTAATATTATTTTGCATCAGCTGTGTTGCATGGATTATTATTATATTCAGTGCAGATATGGAGCTAAAAGTGCTTAAGTGAGTAATTGTTTTTTGTTTGATATCCATTTTACTAGTACAGGAGATTGCACTATCTTTGCAACAAGAGTAAAATTGGAAATCTGCCTGACCTTCCTTATAAGGTAGTAACAGCTACTTAGTTGTTATCCTCAATAATAAATCACCCACTTGACTAAAACTCTCGTTGCAAGGATTGTGCAATCTCCTGTAAGTATACCATGCTTGTTACACTACAATCTACACTTCCATTATTATGATAATGATAGCAAATTTTAAGTGCCATGTACAAGAATCAGCTGATGCCACGTGACGGATAATGTTCAAAGATATACAAATGTTATGTATGGTCACGTGTTTCAGGTGCTGTGCATGTGGTAAATTCTGGTAACCGCAGGAGCAGCACCACTACACTGCCACATTAACACCAGTCACCAGCATAACTTCTAATTCATTTGCTTTATCTTTGTATGCTTATGCCAACAGTGCATATTTAAACTTTCGGGAGTATTATTGAAAGCCAGGATTTAGCAAATCCACACGTAAAGGGTCGCATGATGAATACAAGTTATGTGTTGATATTTGTAATTGTGACATTTTCAGGCACACTATTGTTATTTCTATTGCACTTGTAGTTGGAACACAAATGCACAAGAACATAGCTTGAATATAAGTGGCCATGCATTGTATAATTTGTCTTGAGTAACATTATGGTCTATCAGTGTCAGTAGTAGTAAATCGTAGTGATTACTGTAAAATTTACATGTTTTTGTGTCAATATCATTGTAACTCTAAGCCTGTAGTGATAATAGCCCGACCTTTCATTTATATGCCCTCTAATGACTCTGTTTTTACTCAAAACTTGATAATTGTATAGTTGTTTATCATTAGTTAGCCCAATATGTACGTGTATGTATGTACATGTATGTATATGTGTATGGAACATGTATGTGCTCCTGTTTACTTGTTTCTATAGTACATGTCTTTATGCACGTGCAGTATTGACAGTTAGACTGGCCACCAAATTTGTATGACTCTAATGTCGTTATGAATGCAGCCTATAGGGAGAGTTTATTTGCTATATTTTGTTGTTATTGTTAGGATCGACTTGCTACATATGTATTGAACTAATGTCTTATAATAGTACATGTTTTTCTTTATGCACGTGTAGTATTGACAGTTTTTGTTTTAGTGAAAGCAATTGACTGAGCCAGTGTCAGTTTTATACTGTCATTTTTGTAAAAGTCTATCGTGGGTTGCAGCTTTTGCTATAAAATATTCATAGCTTTGTTGTTACAGCACAATGACTAGTTACATATTGTACTTGTACATATGTATTGAACTAGCATTCAATGTCTTATACTGTTACTATAGTATGCCTCCAGTATTGTAATATTATGACAATAAGGGGAAAGTCTTTATTGTATGTCAGGTTATCCCAAGCCTTGGATAGTGGTTTACTGACGATTTGGCAATTTTTACTAATGACCTCTATGACAAAGCTATCTGCCAATTTCCACTATTTAACCATTAATTGTGTACCATACTAAATTGATCTTAATCACGAACGTTTAAGCAATCTGTGAGATTTTTTAAGGATGGTTTACATAAAAACAGATTGTTTTTCATGTACTTGTGTTGCAACCAAAAGTGCTGTAGAAACAAATGGGGACGCATGTCAAAACAATGAAAACATCAGAATAGGCTCGTAATTTATCTCGCTGTACTGACGCACCCTGCCATTCCTTCATACAGCACTTCCGGTTGCAACACAAAACCATTTGTCATTATGTAAACCAGACTTTATTCTAAACAAAACCAGCCATATACAGATGATACAGTACCCTTCATGTGTTATTTTCGAGACTACCAGTACCAATTATCATACCTGCAAAGCATATCCTCTAATGTGTTGATTTTCACGAAGCATTTCAGGACATACTTGCTATTTGCGACTTTGCTCTATATTTCACACCACACCTACCCTTTGACCACTGGAATGCTTGTCTATGAATAGTACCGTATAGCAGGAAATTTGGGAGGAGTTAAACTTTGGCGAATTGCTAAATTTTGGTGATTGGTGGGTTTTAATTTGGCAAATTTGTGGCCCCATGCCATTGAGCATGCGTATAATGACTCAAAATGGTGGATTTTTAATTTGGCGAATGGCTATCAAAGTGCCAAATTTGCCAAATTTAATCCCCTTCAAAATTTCCCGCTATATTATGGTACTTGTAAGAAACATTCACTAGTAGCATGTGCATACTGCATGTACATGTGTAAGAAGTTGATTCTAACTGGATCTAGAACCTTCTACAGACTACTATGTACTAATTACATGTATATGTATTATTGTATATTCTAGAACAATCATGTATGTAATGTATTCTTGAGTGTTAGAGAACCATCTGGACATCTAATGGTACCTATATAAGTGTGTGATTTTTGTAACTAGAGGTAGTTGAGTTTTGATTAAGAGTAATTTTCGGAGATAAACTTGGTTAATTCAGACGGCCGGTTAGGAGTGTCTGTTACAACATGTACATGTACATGCATACATGAACTCTTGTTATTAAACACCATTCAGACTGACCACACTACCTTTCAAATTGCACTTTTGTACTTTGTACCCAATTAGGGCAAAATGTCCTCATTATAAAGATGCTCTTATTGTCACTGGGTGTCTTTATTGTATAGATTTCTCTGTACATGTACATGTATGCATGCCTGCTTCTTTTATTGGGGCAAGCTTGAGCAAGCCCGACTGTAGCAGAAATTTTTGTATGTATATGCATGTACATGTACATGTATGTACGAGAGTCTCCAGCCACGCCCATCTTCTGGTCATGCTCATGGACAGTGTATCCCTCAATAAACATAGCCAGCACTAGAAATATAACATGTGACTATATACATGTACATATACCGTATAGCGGGTATATTTCGTCTGGAAAAATGTTCATTCTAAGCAGGATTAGAAATTTTTGCTAGTTTTATTTTCGTTCTAAGCAGCCATTTTGTACACGTGGCATTGAGGAAACGCCTTTTTCGTTTGGAAAATATTTGTTCCACAAGGAATGAGAACGAAAAGAATGAAATTAAACCCTGACAGAATATACCTGCTATACGGTACATATACATGTGTACATGCATGTATGTCCAATTACTGTATGTACATGTACATGTATGAGTTCATTTGTGTGCTGTGTATTTGCACAAATATGGAGATTATACTTCTCATATATGATTTAAAGCATTATGTGTGCACTACCATCTATTTATCTGTCAATGATCTAATGCGGTAGAAGCATTTCAATGAAATACGTGTGAACTATGAGGCTAAAAGAAAGCTTGAGTTCAACGTGAACAACCTAGCTGGAATGAAAAGGACACTCTTCAATCTTCATGCTCAGAGAGTTATGATGGGCATCCTAGACTCAAAATTTAGCTAGAAAAATAGCCTAACTATAGCAGCAGTGTTAGCGCATAACAGCAACTGACTTGAGCTCGCCACATTAGTGCATTTATAAGATGACATACAAACCTTTGTATTGGAAAGAGCATGTACTACACGTACACATGTACATGTACATGTACATGTACACATTAATGCATTGCCTTTGGCTAGTTTATAGGATTAAATATAAACCATTGTATTGGAAAGAGCATGTACTACATGTACACATGTACATGTATATGTGTACATATACATGTACATGTATACACACATTAATGCATTGCCTTTGGCTAATTTATTGGATGATATACAAACCATTATACTGGAAAGGGTATGCGTACATGTACAAGTACATGTACATATCTTCTTTAATCGTTGTAATGAATTGTTGATGTCCTCCAGTGAACATTAACATAGTATCTGATCAATCTCTCTCTTATATATCACGTATATGTACAGTGTACATGTGTGTGTAGCATTTGTTAGATGCTGTATAGATTGTTTGAATGGACAAGGTGATTTTTTGTTTAGCTGTGAGATTTTCCAAGTATTTTTTAATTAGCAATGTGTTGATGAGTGCTAGCTATCTTTAGTTTTTTTAACCAAACATGGTAATGGCCTATTATCATAACATACTGGCTATGGTATCATGAAATATAGGCAGGCCTAGTCTCGCCCCGCCCCTTCGTTACCTGCGGAGGAAAGGTCTGGAGACACTGCTATCTAAAATGTGTGCTTTCATGCAAGAGAATTGGTGCCCCACTCTCCTTAAATAATAATCCACTCTTGAGTCTTGATATTATTAATACAATCCCTTTAATAGCATTATTATTATTATTATTTTATTTTCTCTGAACAGAGATGTATGTTAATGAGGTATCCAGTGGTCTCAGTGATCCAAAGGCTAAGCCTACAGTTATAAAGGAGAGTCCTAGCACTGCTTATGTTGACGGACACAACGGGATTGGATCAGTAAGTATTTACCTCAATGGTTAATGCATTAAACTATACAGCTATGGTATTACAATATACACATGTACTTAGTGCAATTGCAGCAGATTTTTGAGTGGGTTCTCAATATGACGTATTGCTTTTCATGCAGTAGCGTCCGGATGACCAGACGCTACCAGATGACCGGATGACCGGTAGCATGACCGGAAGTGCTGTATAAATGAATTGGAGTGTGTGCCAATGCGTCAGAATAGAAAATTTTTCTATTCTGATGCATTCTCTCATTTGTTTATACAGCACTTTCAGTCTCAACAGAAGCTCATGCGTCATATTGAGAGCCCAGCTTAACACTTGTACATGTAGAAAATAAGAAAATAGAGCCTTCATGCATACATGTGTATACATGCATGCACAGATGTCATTTTAATAGTCAACTTGATTTAGCTATAAGTAGGTCCTCAGGGGCGTATCCAGCAGGGGCTGAGCTATGAGGGGGGCTTGAGCTATGAGGGGGGCTTGAGCACCCCCCTCATGACTGGGCTCAGAAAAAAATTACTCCAATCCTGGACTTTTGCATCACTACCAACCCTCTTAACAAAGTTATCTAGCCCCCTGATCATGCATGATTTCAGCAGTTTCCAGTGCTTTAAGGAGCGATCAGAAGTCGCCAGAAGTACCAGTATGCTTGAAATTATTTTGACCCCACCCGTAATTCACGAAAATGAAGGAAAACGCTGTTTTACCTCCACAAAAAGGGGTGGGGCCAAAATTGCGGCACACTTTGGCGCCCTCAGCACCTCCCTTTCACAATTTCTAGATACGCCCCTGGTCCTCATAAAAAATCTATTTTTGTTAAGTTGTAGCAGTTATTTAGCGCTTAGATTTGCACTCTGTTTGACATGTATGTGGCTAAATTGGCTGATAATGTCTTTTGATATAAAGTGATTTGTAATTTGGTGGTTAATACCAATTTCTGCTATTTTCCCATTCAACAGGTTGTGGGGACTTTTTGCATGGAAATAGCAATGAAGAAGGCAAAGGAGACTGGAATTGCTTGGGTCACCTGTACAGGTATGAAAGATGATTATCGTATAGCGGGAAATCTTAAATTTGGCAAGTTGCTAAGTTTTAGTGATTGGCAAATTTTAATTTGGCAAATTTGTGGCCATGTGCCATGATTTTATTTTGACGAATGGCTATCAAATGCCAAATTTAACTCCCTCTAAAATTTCCCGCTATACGGTATGTTAGCAGGGTTCTATTAAGAAATTTTTGTTTGGAGGTAATAAGCCTTGCTACACGTAGCAAGACAAGACTATTATAGGGGGGAAGTAGTAATCTTTAATTTAGTGATATTATTGTACATATATACATGTATATCTATAGAAATGGGTACAGTGCATTTAATGTTCTTGTTTTCTGTCAATTGTTGAGTATTTGGTCCAATAACTGGTCAAATTCAGTGCATATTCTCATTGTATTATCTCATAATACCTTTTTATTTAATTTCTTGGGGGGGGGGGGCTGGGGAAAAATGTAAAATTTGGGGTAAAATCTTTCCCCCCCACCTTCCTAGTAAATTAATGATAGTTACCTATGAATATGCAAATAAATGAAGCATTTCCAATTTTAAGGGAATGTCAATTAGGTTACCCGTTAGCATAAAATGATAAAATAGAAATGTTATTACTAACAAAGTTTTGGCAATTGG